CCGTCCGGCGGGCCCGGCCGAGCCCACGACTGCGTGTGCGCCGGACCCGCCGGGGAAGATGGGCCAGTTCCCGACCACGGCGCAGGCAGGGGAAAGCAGTGCGGCCACAGCAGAGGGGGATGCTCCGGCTGGCAGCAGCCCCGTGCAGCCCAGGGATGGCTCCGAGGGGACCCGAGCTGCCTCTGGCGCCTGCCCATCCCCAGGCTCTCCCTGTCCCCCCGAACAGCAGCCCCAGCCAAGCCCAGCCCTGCGGCACAGCAAGCTGAGAGGTCTCACCCGAGAGCGTCAGCGGCCTGGAGAGCTTCATGAGAGCGATGTCGTAGTCATCGTGATCATCGCTGTAGTTGGAGTTGATGATGACCTGGGAGACGGGGATGCCCTCTGCGTGCTGCTTCAGGTCCGAGACCCCGCCGTACACCTTCCAGTCGTCGAGGATCTTCATGCTGTTCCTGGGCAGGGAGAGGTGGGGGCAGCAAGGAGTGAGATGCGGGGCGCGGGGCTGGGCTGCGTGCCCGGTGCCCCCGGGCTGGACAGCAGCACTGCGGTCAGCTTCCTGCGGCAGCACTCACATGAAGAAGCAGTGGGCCGCGGTGAGGACCCACTGCGCGTCGATGATGGTGCCGCCGCAGATGTGGATCGGCCCGTACTGCACGCTGACTTGCCAGGGCCATTTGCTCACGGAGGTTTCCTTTCCCCCGATGATCCGGCCAGAAATCCTCTGCCCGCAGGCTGGAGGGGAGAGCAGGGCCGAGAGAAGGGCTCAGAGAGGAGGCAAGCCTGGCGGGGGACGCGCACGACATCCCCGGCACCCGCAGGCACCAGCGGCGCTCGGTAGTTCATAGGGGCCAGTGAAGACCCCGGGAACGCAACCTTCGTAGTTTTCTATTACCCAGAAAGTTTGCTGGAAAACGCCCTGTTTGCCCAACCCTGTGCAGAGAAAGAAGGAAAGCGCTCCCAAGCGTGTGTTTGGCCTCGCCCGCCCTCGGCCACGTGCCCTGCCAGCCAGCCCCCTTACTTGTGCATCGGAGAGAGACGTACTTTCCCGTGAGACACTGTGAGCTGCAGGAGAGAAGAGGGCCACAGCCTCAGCCCCGGCCCTGCGGCACCAGGCAGCGGCAGGGCCAGGAGGCGACGCTGCCCGGTACCTGTTGAGGCTCTGCTGGATGGTCTCTCGCTCGTCGGTCACGGTGAGGCTCTTGCCGGTGACGTGCAGGGGGACGTATTCGGTCTGCGACGCACTGGGAGGGGAGAGGAGAGAGGCAGTGAGGGTCCCTCCTCGCTGGGCACTGACCGCCCGGTCCCTGCCTTCTCCAAGAGGCTCTGCACGCCCTGGTGGGGATGGACTGAAAACGCCCAGAGCAGCGCTGGACACGCAGCCTTCCGGCGGAAAAGCACAATGCTGGGGGAAGAGCACGGCGGACTGTGCACCCGGCCGGGGCAGGAGGGCCAGAGCAACACCCGGGGGGCTGGCAGGGCCCCAGCGCCCGAGCAGGACACCCCATCCCCGGGGAATTACTTCTGAAATCCCAGCTGCCGGCAGGTCTTTCTGGAGAAGGAGTCGTCCCAGGTGCTGCTGCACACCGGCAGCCACTGGCTCTCGGCACTGGAGTAGACGGGGAGCGAGGAGTCGTCGGACGCAAAGCGCACTGCGGGGATGGAGCGGGCGGGTCAGTGGTACCCAGCACCCCGGGGGCTGCCCTCCCCCCACCGCCCCCGGCTCCTGGTGCCTCACCGCAGCCCAGCTCGTCGCTCCTCTGGGAGCAGTCGACGACGCCGTCGCAGCGCACGGGGCTCTCCTTGCAGCTCTCGGCGGGCTCCTTGTACACGATGCCAGTCTGCGACCGCCAGAACATAACTGGAAACAAGCGCACGCCGTGGTGAGGCCGGGGCTGGCGGCAGGGGCTCGCTGCGGGCAAGGGTGCCGTGACCCACCCGGAGAGGACTCCGGAGGAGGTCTGCCAGGCGCAGGGGCGCTCCCAAACACCAGGCGTGAGCTCGGGCGCAGGGCTGCCGTTTGAGCCAAGGCTGAAGAGCTGCAGGACGCAGGGCAGACGGACTGGCCAGCCCTGAGCATCCCCCCGTGCCAGCCCGGCAGCGTGCAGCTCAGCTGTCGCAAGCCGCTCTCGCTTAACCCCCTTCTAGCTCGCTCCTGCAGAAAGACGCATCCAGCCCACAGATGCCTCCAGCCCACCGGCTACAGCAGCTGGAGAACCGGCAGCTAGATGTTACCGGGGTTAAAGCGACTCCCCCGGTTTCTGTGCCTGTCCCGCCTACGGACCGCACTTTGGTGGAGGGGTCCCGCCCGCTAACGCCGTGCCGCCGGGAGGGCGAGCGTGGGTGCTGCTGGGCGCCCCCCGAAGCAAGCCCAGGGGACGGAAAGCGCGGTGCAGCCCCCTCGCCCCTCCCGGGAGCCCCAGCGGCGGCTCTCCCCTCCCCGGCAATCCTGCTCCTGCCTGTCCACCAGATGTCAGGAACACTCAGGGAACGGGAAGAGCCCATCTCTGCCTGCTGCCTTCCCAGCGTCGGGCTCCCCAGCCTCTGCTGACCCCAGCCCCTCTGAGGTCTCCCCCCAGGGACCCCCGAGCCGGGACCCCACTCACACAGCAGGATGAGGGCGACGAGCAGCACGATGAGGATGGAGATGCAGCAGATGAGCGCAAGCCGCCGCTGGCTCATGCAGGGAGCTCTGAACATGGAGGGTCCTGGCAGCAGAGCAGAGGCAGGGTCAGGGGGAGCGGCTGCCTCCATCCTGCCACGGTCGCTGGCCTCTCCCTTGCCCCCGGCACCCCTCGCACCCCCAGGGAAACACCAGCCTGTGGCGGAGGCTTGCGCCAGCAGCGGGCACAGGGGCCCGTTCCCTGCCTCCCTCCCTCCCCAGCCTAGGTGGGACCGGGACCAGGGCGGCCCGAGACCACCCTCGGCACCATCCTCTTACCTGTGCTCTCACAGGTCGTGCAGGGGGCCGGGGCTGGGCTGGACTCCGGGCTGTAGGGCTTGAAGCTAATGCCGAGGACGCTTTCCCGAGGCTGCGGAGGTCGGGCGCCGAAGATGCTGCTGACCGTGGAGGCATGGAGGCTGGGAGGGACACTGCTGGGCGATGCCGTGGTCTGCGAGCAGAGGAGACCGTTCTGGCCGTGACCGCTGCCCACTGGAGAGTCCCCGCGGCTGCCACCCCGCCGCCCAGGCAGCCGTGAAGGCAAAGGCGACGCGGAGCCGAGCTCCCCGGCACGGCACCGAGCTCCCCGGCACGGCCAGCCATTGCCGCTGGTGGCTACTGCTCCGCAGTGCCATGAACTACACGGCAAGTTACCACTGCGGTGCCTCTTTCTGTACCACGGTACCCGAGCCTTATCACATCCAGGATGCTGAAAACCTCTTCACTGCAGCGCTTTTCCCCTTTAGGTGGCTGCTGGCCAAATTTCCCAAACTGATTGCTGTGATCAGAGAGATCAGCCGGTTATTTGGCATCGGGTCAGTCACGCTGTGGCCCAGTTCCACGGGGCTCGTGCCCCAATTTATGCATCTATCCTTAATTAGCCATTTGAAAAATACGGTGCAATTTCCAGCTGTTATTTAGTAATACTTAATAATCAGTGTTTTCCAAGCCCTGAAACGTCCTGCAGCCTGGAATGCTGTTCTGCAGTTGTGTCACTCCTGATCCGTGAATTCGCAAAAGAATATGTATTGGTTTCCTTTCCTCAAGATACACTCTTCCAAGCGCCCCACCAGCTTCCATCAGCTACACAAGCGAGAGCCTCTCGTTTTCCTTCAGAGAGGACCTGTGTACAAAGCCCACAATACATGCTCTTTCCTCTGCCGCTGTACCGTCATTTGTAAGATCTCAGGTACACCTCTGGCAACAAGAAACGACCGCGTGCCTTACAGAAGCTGCCAGGGCATCGCCGGCCAGCCCACGGCAGCGACAGCCCGGCCTGGCCTTCGTTCCCGGCAGGTGCTTACCACGCTGCCTCGCTCCTCCTGCCCGCTGCCCCCAGTGCCACCGCTGCGACCGGCCGCGTTTGCACCGGGCTGTTCAAGGGAAGCCGGTCAAACTGTTGCCAGTCAAATCTGGGCTACGTCTGTCCCTACAGGCAGCGTCGCTCCTGTCCCGCAGAAGGGGCGCCCAGGGGAGAAGCGGAGCCGCCACCCTTTGGCAGCAGAGCGCGGCCAGCTCGGGCACCCACAGCCCAGCCCGCCTCCCAGGGGACCAGGAGGTGGGCTCAAACACGCCCCTCTGGAAGCCTGCCTGATTTTTGGCCCCGCAGCTGCTAGCGATGCCAGAAAACATCCCCTTCCCTGCCAAGCCAGCAAGCAGCACCCGGGCCAGGGCACGGCTCTGGGAGCAGGCAGAGAGGATGGGGACGGCGGGCAGAGCAGGAGCAGGAGCAGCAGCAGGAGCTGCCGCCGAGTCGCCCCCTTCCCGCTGGGTTTTCTCTGCCCTCGTGTTTCCTGCCAGGAATCAAGGGCCCTAATGAGCACGTCGGGAGCCTGCTCAGGCTCATGCTTTGTAAATACGGCTGTGCCCTTTCTTGCAATGCGGTGTGTAACTTCCTGGGCATTAGCCCGTGAGTCACGCGCCCCGGCGTGGCCACGCGTGCTCCCCACGCAGGGTCTGCCTCAGCCCCCAGCCGAACGCTGGGGGGGACACAGCACCTCTTGAGCTGTGCCTTAATAAGTGCTCGCGGCCCACGCGCGTCAGCCGCAGAGCCGGCAGGCACAGCACCCCGGGCTCCTGGGGAGGCTGCCTGGCCGCCCGCCCTGGCCAGCAGCGGGGCGCGCAGGGCCACCCCCCGGCACAGGCTCTTGGTCCTGCCGGCACAGACCTCCTCCCGCCGCCCGCGGGGCCCTTGGCACAGGCACCGCTATCATCTCCTGGCCATCGAGAGCCACCTCCCCGCTCACTGAGCGAGCAGCTCCCGGGCCTCCTGCACGCACGGGGAGGAGCAGAGGCAGCTTCTGTTTCACAGCATCACCCACCCCTTCTCGCCCCTTCCCCGGCAGACAGCGATAACAAGCCTGAATTCGCTCAGCCTGCAGCCAGAGGCCAGTTTTCCCTCTGCCTGAATTTCACAGCAGCCCTGTGGGCAAGCCCGGGACAGCCGTGCTGCAGGCTTGCCTTCTCGTGGGCTCCCCCAAAGGTGCCGGGGAGCCCAGGAGAGCCCCTCGGTGTGCTCTGCGGGGCTGGGCTGGCACGGCAGCCGGCAGAGCTGGCGAGTGCCCCGGCAGCGTCCTCCCCTCGTGGGTCCGAGCGGTCACGCCGATGGGATTCAAGTCCTCGCGGCACGCATGGCACACCCGCTCCGCGAAACATCCCTGGGTACCCTTAGTGCCCGTTGCTAGAAAGCGTACGCCGTCTGCAAGAGAGCCAGAGCCGCAGCGGGTCCTGCGCCACTGCTTCGCAGAAGCAAAGCAACGAGCAGATGCCAGGAACCCTTCCTAGGCAGGAAAAATACTTTTCTTACGTGTAAATGAGGTTTCTGTAAATACCCAGACAGTATCATTTACAGTGGCAATTGTATGCTATCTCCACATGTCTGATATTTCCCATGCCTCGTCCTGCAGCAAGCGTAACCCTTCAGTTATCAGATCAGCAGAATTACAAGGCCGTTAAGGACAAACCTCTCCATTGTACTAGAAAACACAGCCCAGCTTCACCAGTCAGCCAGCGATGCTGGATGCTAACGCATTTCTACCTCCAGCGTACAAACGTTTCAAATTAACACGTAAGTTCGCTACAGGTTAAACTGCTCACGTTATTCCTTAGCAGGAAACGCATGCCCTTTCTTACACTCAGGTGAACTATTAGCTACTTATTTCCTTAAAAGTCTAAAGTCCAAGTATTTTTTTAGGTCTATCGCAGAGGCTAACAAGACTTTTATCACGGGCTCCCGGTAACCAGCGTAACTGGTCGCTGTTGTACAGCCACTGCAACACAGCGAACAAACAGCAGCGGCTTTACAAAGATACGTATTTCTGTTAAGGAGCTGAGCGAGCTGCGACTTCTGCCCACAAAACCTTTAGTCATCCTTTGCTGGCTTTTGAGTAAAAGTCAGACCCGGAGCCATGCCTCTCTCACACGCGTGGCTGCGGTTTGAGCCCTTTTTCTGACGTCCTCTCTGCAAATGTTCTGCCAGCCGCAAAAGCGCTGAGCCCCGCCGTGGGCTGGAGGCCAGGTGTGGGGAGGGGGAGCACAACCAGCTGCTTTCTGTGGCAAGGCCGCTGTCAGGCCACAGGGGAGGAGGGATGCTGGGGACACGCGGGAAGACTCCTCACCAGCTCTGCTCGCCTCGTGCCCAGCCCAGGCTGCCTGGGGAACGAGTACACGCTGCCCGTCGGCAACGTGAGCCCTTTGCTACGCTTGTCGTGAGCATAACCACCACCTCGGTCCTTCCCTCTGCTCCAAGGCTTTGAGCAGAGCTGGGAAAAGCAGCCAAGCCACAGGCAGCCGCACCAGAGAAGCCCACCCCCTTTGCACCGTCAGCTCCCACGTGCACTGACCTCCAGCTCGACTCCCTGCCGCAGAGGGAAGGCCACCGAATCCACGCCAGCAGAGGCCAATTGCCAGGGGCCAGGTGGTCCGGGCCGGCTTCGAGGCTTGGGATCCACGCGGGACGGGGAGGGAAGGCAGGGAAGCCAGCCAGCCGTCACCCGCAGTTTCGGAGTGGGAGGGAGAGCGGAAGGAGCCAGGCAACACCTGGGGTGTTGCAACCGGACCAGGGCCCAGCTGTGCCCTGGAGGAGCAGAAGGGCACAGCAGCTACCCAAAATTTGGAGCATCAAGAGGGGAGGGAAGCAGCCCGGCTTAAATAAGCTGGAAGGAGCTGCCTAAATAGGTGATCCTCTTTCCCAGCTGAGCTTGGCAGCCCACACCTCACCACGGCTCTCTGCTGCTCACAGCCTTTGTTCGGAGCAGGGAACCAGCTCCTTCACCTGCTTGCGGAGCGCCGATTGTCCACGGCAGATCGGCTCGGCAAGCACACAACAGCGACATTGTCCTCGCGCTCACCTGGGACAAAACCCTCCCGAGCCTGTGAAAGCCCCCGTTCCCTCCCGTGACGCCCGTCCCGCTCGAGTGCCACAGCTGAGCAGTGGCTCGGCGGTGCCTCCCCGGGAGGGGGCAGACCCCCAGCCCAAGCCGTGGCCCCCCGGCTCGCCGGCCTTGCTCCCCCAGCTGTTGGTGGTGTGGGGCTGGGCAGAGCCTCTGGGGCCACGGGGCCGAACAGGGCAGGAGCTGCAGGAGGATGCTGCCGAGACCCAGGTGCCGTAAAGGGGCAACGCAGGGGGAAGTGAAATCCCAAAGCAGCCAAGTGCAGATGACAAGCCGTCGATTGAGTCAGCCCCATCTGGCCAGGGACAGGTTGCCTTATGCCAGTGTGAGCAGCCCTTCAGGCAGAGATCAGAAAATGTTCTAGGGGGTGAGTAATCGCCGCTCACCCCATTCCACAGATGGGCAGACTGAGGCACGGAAAGATGAAGCGACTCTCCTGCAGTTGCAGAGCCGAGGGTGGCACCTAGGACTGCTAATGGCCTATTTACTCCAAGCGACAAAGCCAGGGTGGCCCAGTGGAGATGCCCGATATTGGGTAATTGTCTCCATATGCAGGCAACCGAACTCCTGCCCCGCTCTCACCAAGACGCTGTGCTGCTGCCCGCTTTCGGGGCCACCCAGAGCTGGGGTCACGCTGCAAGGCAGTGCTGGGGGCAGGCTGGCTCTGGCAGGAGCCCACTCTGCTCCTGCTCCTGGCTGCCTCTGAGGCACCCGCTCGCCAAGGGGCAGGAAGCGGGTGGCTTTCGCAGCTGGCCCTGCCTCCCCTGGAGCCCCATCCACCCTGCCGCTGCCGGCTTTGCACGTTCCGGATGTCGCTGGCACAGCCGGCAGCGCTCGGCACGGTAATTACCTGCTGCCTCGCCCGGGGGGGCTGAGCCCAGTGCCCAGCCAAGGATGGATGTTTTCCACATGACAGGATGCTCAGCAAGGCCCCATGGCCGAGACCGAGCAGGTCCCGGCCAACCCAGCCTGAAAAGAGCACGGGAAAAACTGCCAGGAGAGCAGGCAAGGGAGAGCAGCGGGGGCCGGGGCCACCAGCGTGCTGCCGAGGCTACTGACGCGCTGGTGGGAGGTGCCAGAGGGCTCAGGAACGTGCAGCTCCCATGGGTGCCAAGCGGCACAGGCTCCCAGCGGCAGCGCCAGCCACCCCGCCAGCCAGTCCCCCCCGGTTTGCAAATCCGCTCCAGTGTGGAAAAGCAGCGGTGCCCGGTCCCTGACGCCTCCTCTGCTGGCACAGGGCTGACACGGGGGATGCTGGCGGCAGTCCTCCTCCCTCCGTGGGCCGAGGGTGCCGGAGGCAGCAGCCCCACGGGCAGCTCGCCCCAGGTCCTTCTCCCCGCCGGCAGCAACAGGCTGCTGTGAAGGTGACACCCCAGAGAGCAGGAGGGAGAAACCGGGCCCTCCACCAAACCCCAAGGAAAGCGGGTCCGTACGGCCACAGAGCAACCTCCAGTACTCCTAGCCAGCTCAGAGCCGGAGGAGCTGCCCGTGCCTTACCGGAGAAGTTTTCCCGTCCATCGGCCGCTGCAGGGCTGGGCTGGGATCACAGCTCCGGCACAGCCATCCTTTGCTGCGCAGCGCGGTGCAGAGCGAAGTCAGGTCCGCAGGGACGGGGCAGAGTTTGTTTGGCGAGCGGGCTCGTACGTCAGTGCCAGCACCAGGCGCAGAGGGAAACCAGTCCAACCTGCCGCCCAGCTCCACCGCTGCCTGTTTCCCAACTGCTCCAGGCACAGCACACAAAAGACCTGCCTCTGCTGCCGGTCGCCCCAGCCAGGTGCTGAGGAACGCCGGGCAGGGGCAGTAGGAGCCCCGGCTGCGGCCAAAGGTCTGGGAGCAGGTCAGGTCTGGCCTGGGGGAGAGTGGCATCCCAGGCGCCGGGGGCTGCTGCAGGCACCTCCTCACCTCTCTCCTGGCTGCCTGCCCGCCCAAGCACCCCGCTTCTCTGCCGTGTGCCCGCAACGTGCTCGCCTCGCCTCTCGGGCCCTGGCCAAGGGCTGCGAGCGCCAGCTGAGGATGTGCAGCCGTGTGCCAACCCAGCAAAAGCCCTCTCGTGTGCCCCAGGTGACCGGGAAGTCGAGAATGCCCTGTTTCAAGGGAAACGAAATGCCGTTTCCCTCTAGTTTCTCTAGAGGCTTTTTCACTCCTTTGCTAATGGAGTGATGCTTTTGCGTTGTGCAAGGAGAAAGCAGTGGCCGCCCGCTTCCTCCGTGGGTGTGAGCTAGGAGATGCTTTGCTTAACCCAGAACTCACATTTGGGAGAAACAGGTAAAAATATCCAGATTATCTGATGCCCAGCCCCACGTCCCTCAGTGCCGCATGCCCCGCTCACCCCAGCCCCTGGCTGCCAGAGGAGCGGCTGCGGGGTGGATGAGCGAGGCTGGTGGGCTGGCACCGGGCGCTGCGAGGGCAGCGGGCGGCTCGGCAGGGAGGAGGGCAACCTCTCCGATGGCCCGGTCCCGGGAGGCTCTGTCCGGCGGCGTGGTGCCTCCCGTGAGCCCCATCCCGACACTATTTTCCAGGCGCATTTCTCCCGGCATTATTCATAGCGTAAGTCCCTTATTCATCTGGCTCCCCACCCACACCTGCTCATCGGAAGGGCAGGAGACAAGCAGGGCCATCCAAGCTTGGAGGAAACCTGCTTCAAAGCCCCCTCGATTTCCAGGCTGAAAATCCCGGGATGGATCCTGCCGTCCCCTCCACCCTGCCCCGGGGCTCCCCATCCCGTCCCTTCCCAGAGGGGTCAATTCCTGCCCTGTTCCCGCGCACAGCCTGGGGCCAAACCCGGCTGGCCAGAGGGGGGATCGGGGAGCTCGGTGGAGAAGACCGACACCTGAGCCCATCCTGATCTTGGTGTTTACTCCTGCTTTCTTCTGGCAAGGTCATTGTCAAGCCCTTTGCCTGCCTCTCTCCAATGAGCCCACCCAGGGCCTCGCTGCCCCGGCAGATCCAGCACGAGCGCTTCAGCGCACAGGGCAAACGCTTCCCGCGGCGGTGGCCACGAGCCAGGCCACCTGCTGTGGGGATCCCCTGCTTCCAGGGTGGTTTCTGAGCCAGCCCTCGCTCTGCCGCACACCTCTCTAGTTTTCACACACAGGACTAACAGCATTTTGTTCGCTTTTGCAGCCACCCCGTGCCCCTGAGGGCTCTGCCCCGCTGGGGCGCAGGGGCGAAGCGCTGGCCAAGCAGCGAGCTGCGTCCCCGACAGCCCTGAGCTGGCCTTGTCTGCACGTCCATGCGAGCCGCCACATCCTCGCCTGAAAAGGGATTCTCAGAAAGTAGCTCCAGGTAGCAGCTCCAGGAATGATTGTTTGCTCGTGTTTCTACAAAGCCACCTACGGAAAGCAAGTTACAGAGAACCGTGTGTCTGGGCTTGACCCCGGCAACCTGACATTAAATGTCGTGCGCGTGCAACACCTCCCGGGTGAAATCCTCGCACTTTCTTGCTGGTAACCGCTCCTATGAGCCCTGCTGCACCCTCCCGCCAGCAAACGAGATGCTAATAGCGCACGCAGCCAGAGCCAGCATCGCCACGCCAGGAGAGCCGGCGGCTCCTCCGCTCTCTGCTCTGACCTCCAGGCGCGAGGGAATGAGGGAGGGAAGAGGACAACTCTGCTCTTCCAGGCAAGGTGCCTTCTCCTGCGGTCTGTCCTGTGGCAGGGCTGCGCCCGCGCAGAACCAGCGCTCCAGCCCCAGCCCGAGCCCTGCGCCGCACGGTGCCGTGTCGCAGCCCAAGCTTGCCCCCTCCGGCGCTGTACAATCCCCCTACTGCCCTGGGCAAAACTCCCTGAGGTTTGCAGCGGCGCAGGGCAGGGAAAAGCAGAGACCAGCTCTGCCTGCTGTTCTCCGGGCTGGGTCTCTCTGCGGTGGTGTCACCCTGCCCGGCCAACACAGCGGCCCGTGAGGGGATATTTCAGGGTCAGCCGTGTTACCCGCGGGGCTCAGGGGCCGCTGGGAATCCCAGCCCCATTCCAGCCTTGCCCGTGCCAAAGCTGTCAGCGTCGCTGAGGCTGCAGCAGCCTCGGCCCCGGCCGCAGAGCGGCAGCTGCAGGATGTGGGTGCCGCACAAGGGAGCAGCAGCCAGGCTGCGGGAGGACAGAGCCGAGGACGTGCTTCGCCCCGCAGACGTGGGCAGCCCCCTTGCCGAGCGGGTGGCCCGGGGCTAGCGGCTGGCAGGAGCCGGGCACGGGGCCGGGGCGGCTGCAGCTACCAGCCCTTGCTGCCCCTGAGACGAGCTGCAGAGGCTCTGGGGAAAGAACTGTTGCGCAGCTCTGACTCAGGTGGTTTCCAGGTTATTAAAACCACGGCTATTCCTATTCAAAGATTAGTCAATTATTTTGAAGATGAAAAGGAAACTCAGCAACATTCTCAAGGGCTGGTTTGACCCATGAACTGAAAACCTCTCCTGCCGACATTGAAAACACGGGGCTGCTTTTTCCTGCGATGCTTTGGTTTTAGCGCAGTGCTTCGGGTGGTCAGCAACGCCCGATGCAAAGCTCGTCTGCGCTTTATCGCTGGGTCCCCTGCCTGTGCTGGGGCTGCAGGGTGCCTCAGCACAGCGCGCGGCCGCGGGACAGGGCTGTGTGCCGGGCAGGGAAGACGGGTCTGCCCTCCCTTCCCTGCGAGACAGCGGCTCCCTCCCCGCGGCCCCTCGCTGCAGAGCTGGCGGCAGCAAAGGTAGCACAGAGACGTGAAGCGTGCAGCCTCGAGGATGCCAAGCGGCGTTTCATGGAGGATGAGGGGAAAGCAGTGACGAGACAGGGACCCTGGGCAGCATCGGCACCACAAGCCGTGGAGCGGGCAGCGGGTGGGCACACTGCGGTGCTGTCCCGGCACCAGCTTCTCCCGTGGCACCTGGCGGTGCCCGCATCCATGCAGCAGCTCGGGCGCCAGCACCAGCACCGCGGGGCGCCTGTGCCGCTCACGATCTGAGCGTTCAACAGAACTGTCATTTCTCCTCAGCCTGTTTCATTTTCTCCTAAATTGCCAACCTTTTCTCCCAAACCTCTGAACCGCCTCAACCGCAGGACCGGCCCCGCAGGGCCTTTTCCACAAAGCTCCCTCCTTCCTCGTTTTTGGTCCCATTGCTTTTCATTTTCATTCCTTTACATGAAACACGAGCTGTGGCTTTGTGTGGGATGGGCTGTGCTTCATCTCAGGACTCCTAAATTCAGTGGCTGCCAGATCTGACTCACGAACTGACAGCAGAGTGGCAGGACATCAGCTGGTCCCCCAAAGAGGGGAGAATAAAGCCAAGCCGGGGTGAAGCCAGCGAGGGGATCTGCTGCTGGAGCCGTCTTCCCCTGCCCGTCCCTAGGCAGGGCCTCTCCCTGCTGCCGGGCACCCAGCACCACCGCCCCGTGCCTGTCTTCCCCACGGCCCCGGCGGAGCAGAGCCGAAGCCCGCGTGGCCCTGGGTGCCACGAGAACCGCGCATGCCACCATGCCGTGCCCGAGGGCCTGGTGCCAGGCACCGGCGGACGGCTCGGTGGCACCGCTGGACCCACCCGGCAGCTGATGGAATTGCTGGTGCTCTGGCAAGGCTGCGAGTTTGTGGAAGCCTGTGGGCTTTGGCAGGAAGGATGAGTCAGGGGACGGACTCTGTTCAGAGGCAGGGGAAAAAGCAGAAATCTCCTACTTTGGGCATTTGATATGGCTCTTTGAGGAGCCACTTTGCTGTGGCAAAGGGACCCGAGGTCCTGCACCTCTGTACCCGCCAAGCCAGGGACTGCTCCGAAGCTTTCTGAGGCTGACCAGAGCCTCAGAACCGAGAAAACTCTCTGTTTCTCTTGCTCTTTTTATCCATGTCCTTTCCACTAATTCCCCAGTGGGAAATTCCTCTTCTTGAGAAAAATCGCTCTCCATCACATGAGGGCCCCTGGGTTTGCACAGGCCTCAGGAAAGCCCTCAAGCAAGCTCTGTTGTAACTCAGCCTGCCAAAAGGCAAATCAGAGGACCTGCAGTCCGCTCGGTGGTAATTCAGGTCCTAACACCTCAGGCCAGCATCACCAGACAGGCAGGACATTGCCATGGGGCCAGAGCCCCGCAGCCACGTACGTCACGGCCGTACCGGGGCCCCGGGTCTGGCTGGCAGCTGCCAGAGCCCTGGGACAGCCTACAGCCCCCTCCGCCGCACCCGACTTCAGAGCTTGCGATGCCACCCACGTGCATCGGCGTTTGCAGGACACGTAATAGCCCAGAGGTTGACACTCAGCCCCAGAAATGGGGAAAGGCAAATTGCAGACTGAAACAGGAGGGTACGGGCTGAGCCCGAAGGAAGGGAACGCAAGAACCCCCTCCTGGGGCTCCAGGGCTCCCCAGGGCTGGCCGTGACCCGGCCGGCTTTAGCCGCTGGCAGGACAGGACGTTGGCCCCAGGGGACACTGCTGGGCGAGCGCTGTGCTCAGTAAAATCCCTGTGATGGGTCATCCTAGGCGCTAACGCTACCCCCTGTGCTGTGCTTTTACCATCTCATTTAATAACGAAGGAGCAAAGGCAGACACGTGATGCACTCCTATTTTCCCTTTCTCAGCAGTGTACCGCTTTGATCAGAAAAGCCCCCAAAGCTCTTCCTTTAAGGCTGCTTGCAGGAAATGCCCAGCCTGGGCTGAGAGATTAGCTGTGGGTGAGTGGGTGGACAGTAAAGAAAAGTGGAAGTCGCTACACAGTGACTTTCCTCCCACTGCACTAACGCCTCCGAGACGTCACTGAGCCAGCCTCCAGGGGAAAAACAAGCGTTCAGCAGCCCGCCAGAGCAGAGCTCGGCACCCTGCTCACCCAGCCCAGCGCCCTCAGAGGATGCTGAGCCAGCATGGCCCCCTCCGCCACAGCCCTGGCACTGTGCGTGGCACTGCTCCTCGCCCAGCGGACGGACGGTGAGTCTCTCTTGCCCACACCGCGTTGGCCCTCAGCTCCCCGCTTGCTGTGGCTGAGCCCCACGGCTCCCAGCAGGCTGCTCTGCTCCCCTCCGCACCCGAGATCCCGGCACCGGGCTGGGAAGGCATGCCGGCAGGCAGCGAGCGGAGCTGCTGCGGTTCGGACACCTTCGCTGGCTGGTCAGCGCTCAGGCTGGCGGTGCCCGCAGGCTCCTGCCTGCCTGGAGCCGGACACGACCAGGGCTCCCTGCTCGCCACCCTCCTTTCTTCACTGCTTGGGAGCCTAAAGGCTGCGTCAGTCCTCAGGCATCAGCCTTGCTTACCTCCACCAGCGTGGACCATGGTGCCTTGTGCTGCGGTCGCTAGCGCGGTGCTCTGCTGACGGCCGTCCTCCCCAGGCAACGGTGCGGCTTAGTGTTTGCCGGCAGGCAGCGGCTGCTGAGGAAACCAGCACAGAAAGGGTGACAGATGTTATCTAGCCACGCTTTGCTGCCAGGTGACAATACCGAAATTCAGGCAGGAGGTGTGAAAAGCCCGTTTCTTCCAGACAGCAGATAAGCAAAACAGGAAAGCTGAATCCAAACAGAGCTACTAGAAACGGCAGGGGCGGTCAGGGATGTAAACACAGCAGGCTCCTTTCTTGGGCCAGAAAAGCACCGAGATCCTCTCGGCTGGGCTGAGCTGGCCACTGCCCAGAAGAGAGAGGAAGGGGAAGAGGGGGGTGATGAGCAAACACTGAAACTTGGAAGTGGGACAGGCCTGGGCAAATGCTTGCGCTTTTCGGGTGGATGGTCACTGCTGAACACAGGGGTCGAGCTCCAGGCGAGCCATCGAGGAGGCAATCGCAAGGAGCTCCGCCCAGCTCCTGCGGGCACCGGGGGGACGGGACGGGATGCCAACCAGCCTCACCTAACGCTCGCCTTCGGTCCCGCAGGTGAGAAGCTGGCAAGCCCCACGCACGTGCGCTTTGCTGCGGAGACAGCGCATCACCTGCTGCTGTGGGAGCCGGGACACAACCACTCCAGTGACGCCCGCTACGAAGTGGAGTACAAAGTGTGAGTACAGCCACGGGGGTGCCAGGGGGATCCGATACCGACGGCGGTGACAACCGAGTCCCTGGCACCTGCCCGCACTGCTCTCACCCCACGCGCTTCTCCCTGCAGCTACGGCACGATTTCCTCCTGGACAGCCATCCCGAACTGCGTGAAGATCTCGGGGTACTCCTGCGACCTCACGTACTACACCCTGGATCCTGCCCTGCGCTACTACGCACGGGTCAGGGCCACGTCTGGAAACCACACGTCCCTGTGGCAAAGGACCAACTCTTTCTCCCCGCGGGACGGTAGGTCGGGTGTCTGCCTCCATCCTGCGGCTGGGGCGGGAGGCTTCGAGGATGGCAGAGGTCAGGGTGCCAAGCTGCTTGGGAAGAACTTTGGGACAGAGGAGAGCAGGGATGTCTCTCTCTCTTCACACCTTCCTGGAGGGCAGCCGGGCTGCGGGCTGGGATGGGATAAGCCTAGGACAGGCAGCACTGGCTGCGAGGAACAGTCACAGCTCAGTCCACTGCTGTAAAGGCTCTTAGAGCCGCAAACAGGAGAAAACCCTAACGTGCTCTTCCAACTCACTTGTTTCCAGCCAGCCTGCGCCTGTCGGGCCAGAGCCTCTCTGTGACGGGCAACACCATCCACGTGGAGCTGCAGCTGCTCCTCAGGGCGGGCAACCTCACCGTGAAATACGACCACATACAGAAGTACGTGAGGCGATACCGGGTGTTCGTCAGGAGGGCACAGGACAATCGGACGGTGAGATGAGTTGCTGGTCCCATGCTGTCCCCATCTGCCACGCGCAGTGCTGCTCAAGTTGAAAAACACATTTTTAAAGTACAGCCTTCTGTAAAACTTGACATTGAGCTTTCTCACAGCCACAACGTTGCAGAGATTTTTCTGCACATTTTATTGCAGTAGGTTCCCCAACTCTCACCGGGATTTTGGTCCTAGCCGCTGGCA